GCCCCAAGAGGCCCCAAGAGGCCCCCAGGAGGCCTCCAAGAGGCCCCCAAGAGACCCCCAAGAGGCCACAAGAGGCTCACCGACATACGCAAGAGGCCTCCGGAACCACCAAGAGGCCCTAAAGGCGGCCCAAGATACCCCCAAGCTCGCCGTTGTCCTCCTCCTCCTCTTTTTCTTCCTCCCTCCTCCCCCTCCGCCTCCTCCTCCTCCTCCTTCTCCTTTTCCTCCTTCTCGTCCTCCTCGTCCTCGCAGTCCTCCATCTCCTCCTCCTCATCTTCCTCCTTCTCCTCCTCCTCCCCCTCCTGCTCATGCTGCTCCTCCTGCTCCTCCTCTTCCTCCTCCTACTCCGACGACGACGGCTCCTCCTACATCCTCCCCCTCTTGGGATATATGGCGGCTCACCCCGCCCTTTGTTCTTCTGCATGCTCTCCCGCTTCCCTTATAACCTCCACTCCCCTGGGACTCATTTCTGGACGGGCTGGTGGGGATACGCGAAGCGTCTAGAGTTTTATACACACGCATCGATTTATATATGACTATAAGTTGTTCTATTTATATACATATATGTATGCATACAATTATAGCTGTCTGATAGAAATGGGGTGAACATGCTTTTCAAGCTGCCGTGCATGGAGAATCTGGGTCAGACCTGCACCCGTTCCTGTCTGCATCCTTCTGCTCCTCACGCCTCGCGCCTCTCCTCTCCCCTGTTCTGTCTCGTGGTATTGCAGCTCGTCCAGGCACGGGGCAGGAGAAGCTATGTGGTTCCCAGCTTCTCTAAGAATGGCAGCCGGGAGCCCATGTTTGTTTCTAGTATTTAAAATTTCCAGAACGACTACCCAGCTGGGGATAGCCTTTTATTAGTGGCAACATGGCAAAAAGCTGGAACACGCTAGGTTTCTCCAGGTGCCGTATGTGGGAGTGCTAGAAAACAGCAGGTTTTCCAGCCCCCGTGCCTGTCTGCATCCTTCTGCTCCTGTTCCTGCGCCTCCTCCTCATCCGTTTATCCTCCCCGTCCTCTCTTGTTCTTCGTCTTCTCCTCGCGCCGATCCCCATGCGCCCTTCCTGCTCCTCTCTAGGGGAAAGCGGGGGGTGGATAGACAGAGAGAGAGAGAGAGAGAGAGAGAGAGAGAAAAAAGAGAGAAGGAGCGCCCTCATTCTCTCCACCTCCTGGCTGGAGGAGAGGTTGGAGTCTACTTCTTATCTATGGTGAGCAACAGGAGAGGTAAGATGATATAAGGCGGCAGGATATCATATGGTAGTCATGAACTTTCGAGGGGGTGAGGGTTGGATATGCATAATTGCAGGTGCCCCCCCTCTCAGTTGCCTCTACAACATCTTCTCTACGTTGCTCTCCCACCGCGCCAGATCCTTTTCTTCAGCAGACAGAGCTACCCCTGCATCTTATATGCATGTGTGGAAAGAGACGTACTCACCTCGATGCCCCTCCTTCCTCTCTCTCTCTCGCTCTCTCTCATTCTTTCCCACATCTCGTGCACAGGAAGGGGGCGGAGGGGGAGAGAAGGAGGAGGAAGAGGCGGAGGAGGAGGAGGATCTTGCCTCGTCGTCGAGTATTTGAAGACGAACATCATGAAGAACTCAAACCAGATTTCATTCGAGTCCGTTGAGGTCTGCCTCCCCGCCACCCGGACCTCCGCCGTCGTGGTCTTCTGGCAACGTCGACCCCCCAGAGGTCTGGACCACTCCCCAGGGACCGCTTCCTGACGCCCCCGGGGCCCTGTGAGGGCCCCCGGAGGCCGGCCGAGAGTGGCTCCGGGGGGAGGGGCGGACCCCCCCGCAGCACAATGTGTCGTCGGCGGCGAGGCAGGGGCCGTCTGCGCCAGCGGGGAGGGCCTAAACGGGGGATGCCGTCGAAGCGAAGTGTGCCACGGGTGAAAACGGGGGCATCCAGCAACGGCGGGACTGGTAGGCACCCCGGAGACGAGACTGGGTAGGCACGAGTGGGCATCCCAGCCTGCCCGAACTCAAAAGAACGCCCCGTTGCCTCCCCACTGACCGTTGCCACTGGCATTCTTTTGCGTGCGTGGCAGCATGCTCTGCCCCCCCCCCACCCCCCCCCGAGCCGGCCGGCAGGAAGGACGCCGCTCCTCTGCTGGACGCCAGCAGCAGAGCATCCACGGGCGAACAGGACCGATGGGGGCGGGCGCAGGCCCGCGGCAGAAGCGCGGCCGCCGCGCCCCTCGCGGGGGCCGCAGCCGGGCACCTCGCTGCCAGGCTGGGCAGGGCAGGAGCAGCCTGCGTCGACTCGGGAGGGCCGGGCCGAGCCGACAGGCGCGTCCGAGGGCCAACAGCAACAGCAACCACAACAACACCACCACCACCACCACCACCAACAACAACAACAACAACAACGACGACAACAACGACAACAACGACGACAACAACGACAACAACAACACCACCAACAACAGCACCACCACCACCACCACCAACAACAACAACACCAACACCAACAACAACAATACCAACACCAACAACAACACCAACAACAACAACACCACCACCACCACCAACAACAACAACAACAACAACAACAACAACGACAACCTCACGCCGGTGACTCATTCGCGCGACGCCTCGACGTCCACGCCCCGGGCCCCTCCTGACAGCACGCCGCGGGCCGAGGGCGCCTCCTGCGGGGGCGCGGGCGAACATGGGAGGTCAGCAAGCCGGGGGCCACAGCCAATCCGTATCGTAAGGACGCTCGATGAGGGTGCAAGGGCATCGGGAGGCCGTCTCGCGGCCAACGAAAGTGGGCAAAGCTGGACCGAGGGGGCAAGGATGCCAGGGTATCCTTGGGAATCTGAGCCATTCTTACTATTAGAAGAAAACGCTATAAACATGAACTTGTTTGGCGCTCCGCGCGGATTTCTCGGATCCGCGCTGGGGCCCCCCTGGCGCGCTCCGCGCGCCAGGGAGGTGGGTCCAGCGCAGATCCAAGAAATCCGCGCGGAGCGCCAAAAAAGTTGAAGTTTATGGCGATTTTTTTTTTTTTTTTTTTCTTCTTCTTCTTCTTCTTCGACGCTATGCGGGTTGACTGTACCGAGTCGGCCCGCGCAGCGGGCGGTCCTGGGGCCTCCCGGCGCCGTGGGGAAGGCGCCCGCGGGCGTCGAGGAAGGCGCCCGTCGGCAGAGCCGAAGCCCAGCCGCACGCACCCCAGGACTTCGTGACGCCCCCCTCCCCCCCCCCCGGGGGTCTGGGTGCGCCGAAGAGGGGGGCCAGAAGGAGGAGGAGGAGAGGAGGAGGAAGGAGGAGGAGGAGAGAGAGGAGGAGGAGGAGGAGGAGGAGGAGGAGGAGGAGGAGGAGGAGGAGGAAGAGGGGGGTTGCGCATCATGGCCCGAGGCACAAAAATATACGCCACCACCACCTCCCTCACCCCCTCCCTCTGCCAGGAAAGAGGAGAGGGAGAGGAGGGTAGAGGGAGGAGGGGTCGACGTGGTGGTGGTGGTGGTGTATATTCTTGGGGCCCGCATCGTGGCCGGAGGCATGTGTGGGCCCACGGCCTCCCCCCAACCCCCAGATTCCCTCGGTCCCCCCCCTGATGGGATGGGGGGGGCGACGACGAATGCCGACGCTGATGTCGTCGTCGTCCTTCTCCTCCTCCTCCTCCTCCTCCTCCTCCTCCTCCTCCTCCTCTTCCTCCTCCTCCTCCTCCTCCTCCCTGATTGGGGGGGGGAGGGCCGGGCCCCATACCCACCACCGCACGCCCACATGGGGAAGACCCCACCACGCCACGCCCGCAGGGGGGCGGGCCCTCGCGCGGGAGGACGGGGGGGGGCCCTATGGTATCAGCACGAGGGGTGGGGGTGGGGGGCTGGACCCCGGATCTCCTGTGCGCGGACGAGGCGGGGGCGGGGGGCGGTGCAGTAACGTATGGCTCGGCTCGAGGCGCGTGCGCGGACGAGTGGGGGCAGGGGGACGTGCTGAAAGAACTGAAGGGGCCCATGGACGCGCAAATAAGCACACACGAATCCCAAGATTTCCCAGATCTTCCCATATTTTCTTGATTTTCGTCTTCCCCCCCGCTTCCTATATTTCCCTATCGTTTCGTAGTTTCGGGGGATCGATAGTTGAGTGTGTCTGTGTGCTTTTTCCCCTCCCGAAGAATGATCACCATAATCATAATCATCATACAAAGAAGAGGAGTTGTCATCTGGGAAATTTCAGGGTCCTGGCCATGGTATCCGCACCTCCCTAAACCTTCTCCCAGTTCTCGACGCCTGGTAGTTTTTTCGGGTTCAAGATCCGGCCTCCAGCGGCCGTTCGGGATGATCCAGGCACCCCCAGAAAGCTGTCGACGAGGCGCAGCTGCCGGAGAGCGTCCTGGGGCGGAAATGCCTCCAGGTACAGGCCCAACCTCTCTCCGAGAGCCAGCGAAAACGTGATCGCAAGCCCCCAACCTCTCCCCATCACCTCCCTTTCTCGGCGGCGCGCCGAGGGGAACGGCAAGGGGCAGGCCTTCACAGAAGGCGGCGGGGCTTCTCAGAAGCCCTCCGGCCTTCTGATAAGGCCCCGTGTGGCTTCGGAGAAGGCTCAGAAATCTTCTCAGAAGGCCAGAGAGGCCTTCTGAGCCTTGAAAGACCCTGAGGTCCGTCGCCTCGAAGACACTGCAACCTCGGAATAAATCACGACCGGAGCCCCGGACCCCATCAGACGCGCCACTTTTCGAGGCGGATCGATCTGTGAGGGTCCCAGGGGCCCGAGACTGGGCGAAAACGCCCGGTGTGAAAACAAGATAAACGCCGAGACCTCAAGGCAAGGCCCGCTTCGTCTCCCAGACATCCGGCCGCTCCACTGTTCTTGAGGCGTGGGCCCCGGAGGTCCGGCCGGTGGCTCGCCCTGGGTCGCTTTCTCACGGCCTCGAGGCCGGGCGAGGGCCCCCAGAGGCCGCAAAACGGCGACATGCCCGCCGCCCCAGCTTTTCTGCACCTCCTGGGCCTCTCCTCCCCCGCCGCCCCCCCTCGCCCCTCCCCCCCCGCGGCGCGCCGCCGACTTTCGTCCGAGCCGCATCCTGGGACGACGCCGCCCGCAGCCCCACGGCTCTGCGCCTCGGCCTCCCCGGGCCGGGTGCCGCCGCCGCCAGGCCTGGCCCTGCGGGCGCCCGCGGGGCCAGCGGCCTCCCCTGCCCCTGCCGCGTCGCGAGGAGGCAGGCCTGCACGGCTTCCCCCGGGGCCGTAGGAGGAGGAGGAGGAGGAGGAGAGGAGGAGGAGGAGGAGGAGAGGAGGGAGGAGGGAGGAGGAGGAGGAGGAGGAGGAGGAGAGGAGGAGGAGGAGGAGGAGGAGGAGAGGAGGAGGAGGAGGAGGAGGAGGATGAGGAGGAGGAGGAGAGGAGGAGGAGGAGGAGGAGGAGGAGGAGGAGGGAGAAGAGGGGAGGGCGGAGGAGGAGGAGGGGAGGAGGAGGAGGAGAAGAGGAGGAGAGAGGAGGAGGAGGAGGAGGAGGAGGAGGAGATGGAGGAGGCGGAGGAGGAGGAGAGAGGAGGAGGAGGAGGAGGAGAGGAGAGGAGGAGGAGAGGAGGAGCGGATGATGAGAGGAGGAGGAGGAGAGGCGGCGGTTGGGGAGGAAGAAGGATGAGGAGGAGGAGGAGGAGGAGGAGGAGGAGGAGGAGGAGGAAAGGAGGAGGGGAGGAAGGACGGGGTAGAGGACGGGTAGGAGGGAGGAGGAGAGGAGAGAGGAGGAGAGAGGAGAGGAGGAGGAGAGAGGAAGAGGAGGAGGAGGGGAGGAGGAGAGGAGGAGGAGAGGAGGAGGAGAGAAGGAGAGGAGGAGGAGGAGAGGAGAGGAGAGAGGAGGAGGAGGAGAGGAGGAGAGGAGGAGGGGAGGCCGGAAGGAGGAGAGGAGAGAAGATGAGGCGGAGGGAGGAGCACGGGTAGGAGGAGGAGGAGGAGGAGGGGAGAGGAGGCGAGGAGGAGGAGGAGGAGGAGGAGGGGAGGAGAGGAGGAGAGGAGGAGGATAGGAGCACGGTAGGGGAGGAGGGGAGGAGGAGGAGGAGGAGGCGGAGGAGGAGGGGGGAGGAGGAGGAGGAGGAGGAGGAGGAGGAGGAGGAGGAGGAGGAGGAGGAGGAGGAAGAGGAGGAGGAGGAGGAGGAGGAGGGGGAGGGAGCTCCACGGAAAACCCCACTGGCACGGTTCGCGTGCGGTTTTCCGCCCAGCCCGTCGCCAACCCAAAGAGACCCACAGAAGGTGTCCCCCGCCACCCTGCACGCTGCCGCGCTGGTCCCGGGCAGGGGGCGAGGAGGGGAGAGGCAGGCAGACGACGACGACGACGACCGCGCCAGGCGGGCGGCCGAGGCCGGCGGGGCGGGGCGGCCAGGCGGACGAGGGCTCCACCGAAGGCACGCCCTCCACACGCCGTCGTGGCCCCACAGGCTCGCGGGGACTCCCCCTGCGCTGGGCCTCCAGGAGCTGCCGAAGGCGCCTGCGCGCTCTGCCCAGCATCTGCCCAACACCTGTCCCGCTTTCAGCCGCCCGTGCTCTTGTGGCGGCGAGCGAGGGGGGGAGGTGAGGAGGAGAGGGCTTCTCAGAGGGCGGCGGGGCTTCTCAGAAGCCCGCGCGCCTTCTGAGAAGCGCTCTGCGTCTTCGGGGAATGCTTAGAACACTTCCCAGGAGGCGGGGGGGGCTTCCCCTCACTTCGCCCTCTCGCCCGCCGCCGAAACATCTGCCCAACACTGTGTCCATTGTGAGCCACCCGTGTTTTTGGCCCCGTGCCGCGGACAGCCCGCGCGCGTCGTTAGGACTCCTGCGGGGCGTCTGGCGCGCGTCGCGGGGACTCTGAAATGCACGGTGCCCAGAGCCGCGGTCACCAGGGTGCAAGGACAAAGAGGGGAGAAATACGAGAGAAGGAAGCGGACACAAAACGGCTGGGCCCAGGGCTCGGGCCAACGCGGGCCAGGCAGGCAAGAGCGCAACTCCCCATACCGGAAACAAGGAGATGGGAGTGAAAGAGCTGGGAAGGAAATGGGCACGACATGGCGGAGAGCGCCTTTTCTCCACGGCGAGGCAGTGCATTCTTCCGCGAGCCCAGCGTTTTTTTTTTTTTTTTTTTTTTTTTTTTTTTTTTTTTTTTTTTTTTTTGCTTTTTTGCTTTTTTTGTTTTCTCCGAATCAGCGCCGCAGTCCTTTTGAAGGCCCACTCATCCTTCTGAACTGCCCCGCGATACTCGAAGCTGCTTATGGTTGGGTCCTCCGCCCAGACTTTTTCCAATCTGGGCAGTTCTCGATTTTGGCATCTGGGGCCTGTTCTCAGGCCCTGGGGCCTCCAAGTCCCTCAGCAACGGATCTGGGGCGAAAATCTGGCCCCAGGGATGGGGTCGGGACCTCCGGGAACGCGCATTGGAAACATCACCTCGTCAAATGTCTGGGCTCTCGCGTCTCGACTCGTGGCAGCCATTCTTCGTGCGAGGCGCTCGAGGCGCCTCGGTCTCTCGGGCGGTCGGCCAGCTCTGGCGCCAGACCCCCCCGAAGAGCACAGCGAACTCAGCCACTCGCGGTTCGCGACCGACGGACTGACCTCCTCCCTCCTCCCCGTTCTGCCCTCGACCATTTCGGCACACTCCTCGCGCGGATCGTGACCCATTGGGAGCTCCGCCTGCGACCCCAAAGGGGGAGCTCGTGTGGCGCCACCGCGCCCTTTTTGGCACTCCCATCACGCGGACCGTGCCCTATGGGAAACTCCAGGTGATGCCCCAGTCGAGGAATGCGCACGGAGCCACCAGGTCCACGTCGGCGCTCCCCCTGGACGGATCGTGCCCCTCAGGGGATTCCACCTGAGGCCCCGACGGAGCAGCTCGCACATGGCGCCACTGCGCCCAGTTCGGCGCATCCCTCACTCGGACTCCAAGGGAGGCTCCACTTGTGGCCCCAGTGCAGGACCTGGCATAGGAGGAGGAGGAGGAGAAGGAGGAGGAGGAGGAGGAGGAGGAGGAGGAGGAGGAGGAGGAGGAAGGAGGAGGAGGAGGAGGAGGAGGAAGAGAGGGTGAGGAGGCGGAGGAGTGATGGGGGAGGAGGAGGAGGATGAGGATGAGGAGGAGGAGGAGGAGGAGGAGGAGGAGGAGTTATGGCCCCTGGCACGGCGCCGGCTCGTGCCCCATTAGGGGGCCCCCCACGTGGATCACAGTGGAGGAACTCGCGTGGCACCACCAACCGCGACAAGGTCGTCATAGCACTCACGCGGACGGGGCCCCCAAGGGGCGCTTCAGTGAGGGTCCCGAGCTGTGGCCCTGGCGGAGGACCTCGCGTGGCGTTGGCTCGCCCATGTCAGCAGACCTCTCGCAAGGATCGTGCTCCCTTCGCAGCCCCCCCCCCCGAAGAGACATCGAACAACACCTGTACATGACTAGAACCATCGCGCGCGCTTTGCGCGCGCGCTGAAGTTTGACATGCCATGGTGTCAAGCGTATAACGCGTCAGAGGTGCCGAGTCTGGATGATCGGGTCCTTGGCTTTGGTATCTGAAGTCGCATTGAGGCTTGGTGGTCGCGGCAGTCCGGGGTCATCCTTGGGCAATCGTGCATCCCTCCTCGGGAGCATGTGGGCCTTCGAGGCCATCTTGGAGCCACGTTTTCGCGACAAATGGGAACTCGAGAAACATCGGCGGTGGACAAACCTCCCTTTAGCAAACCTTCCCTTAGTGAAAACGGCCTAGGACCGAAACCGACGGACCTGGACCCGCAAAAGCGACGGCCACGACGCCCTCTCGCGAACTGGAAACGGCCAATTCCTTAATCGACATGTCAGGGTAGGCGGTCTATCAACCTCCGGAAAAAAAAAGGAATAGCGTCGGGAGTCCTTTGGTTTTGATTGACTTGGCCCTTTTGGAAGCCCTGTGTGGGCACTCTGGCGGCCTCCTGTGGCCATGCTGTGCTGCTGGGGACCTCCTGGGGGCCTCCTGGCACCGCCGTGGGGCCTATATTGGAACTTCTGCACGGCTCCACTCCCGTACAGCTCCGCGAGTCTCCTAGGAGAGCTCGGAGGGGGGAGGGGGAGGAGGAGGAGGAGGAGGAGGA